TTTGGGACAATCTAGGTCTGACTACAGCAGCCTAAATGCAGCTGGTTGAAAGGTGCATGACACTCCTGTAAAATGGCTATTTTTATCTTTGATCAAGCATCAATCTGGATCATACATTGGAGTGCCATCAAATTTGACTGCTGCTACATAGTCCAAGAATTGATGGTGCGCATGTTATCTTACTGCATAGGTGCAAAACATGTTATAGGCTGATATATTAAGTATACTGATCTACATGAACTTCTGTTCTATAGAGATTACTTCTGTTTCTGTTATTCAGGGTAAAAAGTACGCCATGTCAGCCGATATCGGTCATCTCTAATACGTATGCTCAAAACTGCATGGTGTAGTTTTTTGCTAATAATAAATTATACTGAAATTGATTTGCACCGTTGATTAAGCTACGGACGCTCTGCAGCTAGTTAGGTATGTAGGCGTTTCAGACTTCGCAACGAAATGCACTTGGGCTCTGCCAATTCTTTTTCTATCACCACCGAAAATTCGATCCAGATTGAGACTGCCTCGTGATCAACTGTGAATGTGTAGGAGTTTCAGTGGGAATCAGCTCGCTGAGGAATGAAAAAATTTTTGTGTGGCAGGTATGCAAAATAACTCGCAGCACGTGAACTGTCATATTTACAAGAAAATAGCCAACTACTCCACGCCAATCGTCCACTTTGATAGTGCACTATACGCAGCTGGTGCATGCTTCACCACATTGACGAGGTGTCTGAAGAAGCGGCAGACTCGCAGTCCTTGCTTGGCCAGCCCCGGCCGTACTGTCGGAGCGCAGGAACGCCAACTACGCGCCTGATGTCGTGGATGTTTGACGAGTGAATTCCTGCTTTCAGCCGTAGTAGGGCACGCCCATGCAGTAGGAAGAGCCCCTGTCTCAAGAACAGGCCTAGTAAATGTCAACCGTCTGCTCACTCCCTTTCTTCTATAGAGTGGAGCTCTCTCAGCAGCGTAGCTGCCGTCGCTATAGAAAGAAGTGCCAGGTTGATTGTGTTCCTCTTGCCTCGTCTCCGCTACCGCTGTTCGTCAAGGATGGAGACCAGTCCTTCGAACATTGCTTGCAACAACTGAACTATATATACAATGTACACAAATATATACAAATTGACAAGGCAAGTGAACAAACATTTGGGACTGTCGCCCCGTTACGTCGGTAAAACCGATAGTGCATAGCAGTCTTTGCTGCGACCAGAGCCCCTGTCAGGAGCCAGGTTTCAACCTCTAGGTTGCCCCTCCCCGTTCTCCTCTCAGCCAATCAAAAACATTCCGTCCAGTTATTGAACCTACGATAAGTTCCCATGCCTTTGGTCTCCCCTCTCTCTACGTCCCTCTCCCCTTGCAGCCTTTTGGCACTTGTCAGAGAGAGAGAGAGACGAAAAAGGAACGGCCAACTCCAACATTCCGAAAAGCCCATTAAATAGAAAAACCCAATAAACATCCAATGGTGGTGTCGCTCAGCTCCCCGGATCAAGTTACCAAGTGCGACCGGTTACCCAGAGGGCCCATGCCTTGGCGTGGTATACCGTCTGGCCCGACAGGCGGACACTTCATTGGAGATGTATTGGTGTCAACACGCAGGACGATTTGACACCGCTTGCTGGCACCCTGCTGGTTGGAGGCAGCGGTGTTGGTCGTTAAAACAATGATGAACGGACCACAGCTTCCTACCCGAAACGGTTTCGGGGAGCAGGGGTGTTGTCTGTCAGCGTGTTTTTTGTCCTTATACGAGCATCGCCATGTGCTCACCCTCGACTCTCGGGCGCTGGTTTCTTGGAAGCCCTGCTTTTGGAGAGAGAAGACACATCGTCCCCCCCCCCCCCCCGTTCTCCCTGCCCGTGACGCCAGACCTTATAGGCCTCGTATTGCCAGCGAAACCCAACTGCTTCGTCAACACAGGGTTTACCCTGTAGCAGCTTGCCGCAAAGAGAAGCCAGCAAATGTGGCCATTGATCGCAGGCGTCCTGTTCCTCAATCCAACGGCACATATGAAGTCAAACCACAGGCTGCGTTGAGGTTCGTGGCTTTGAAAATACATAAAACACCACGCATCTCCTGCTTTTGCCGTGCGTCATGACTACAAACTCTCATCACAACTGATTAGACAAGGGCTTCAAAACCAATCCTTTCACCCGCTAGTGTTTTCCCATAGTTGTTTTTGAAAATTCTACCTGCCAATCGATTGAGGGAGCCCATCCCTCCCCTGCATTAATGCAGAGGTGGAACAGCAACATGGCTGAAACATCATGTTTGCGATTTCATTAAAACAGCTATCATTTTGGGTTCCATTAAGACTGTGATTGGCTGTGGGGTTGGTTTAGCAGGTGCTATAAGCCACAGAAGGGAAAAAAAAAAGAAGAACGAGGAGGTAGCAATATTCAACCAGCCTCAACAAGGGAACCTTTTCAGGACTGCCTTCTCTCTTCCTTCCTGGCCATTGGCAATATGTGCAGTGTCTCCTTGGCAGGATTGTCTCTTTTTTAATGAAGTCACGAGACTTCCTTTTTCTCGGCACTTTGGAGTTATTGGTGCAATGTTTTCTTGATTTCCTTTTGTTTGCCACCAGTGGCCACTGTGTCACAACTGATAAACAATGACCCGGTCCGGGACAAGCCACAAGCTAGGCAGTCTCTGTTCAACTTCAAAAATAGTTTTTTTTTTATCAAAAGCAAATAGTGAAGGTTCTTATCTGTGTATCCAGAGCTGGCACTTCGAAGAACCAGGTCACGATAGTCGATCACGCTGTTACTGTTGAACCCATCTATAATGACCGCAGGTGCATGCGCCCTATCGCGATTCTTGCCCCGCCGCAGTTATGCAGTCTTTGAAGGTAGTGCATAACAGGGAGTGTTCGTTGACTCTTGCAACCTCATGACCGGCTAACTCACAGCTATGTTAAGCTTTTCGCACGATAAAACTGCTGATCGATAGAAAAGATACAACCAAATGCCTCCCTTTATTAGAATGAAACTTCCAGGATAAGAGCATATTTTCCCAGGCATTGTACTACCCAGCGTGAAACTGGCCATTGGGAAATGAACTATTTGTAATAAAAAACATGAACGTGTGTACATGGCTAATTAAGACTATATTGGACAATTTACTTAGGTGTTTTCTAGATGCAGCATTTTACAAACGAGACATCAGAAGTGCTATGAAAACATGCTAAATCTACTCGAGAAATTCTTTCTGGCTGGTCCAAGTCGGCTCCAAAATGTGCCTGAGTGCTCCAGGCCCGCTAAAAAAAGGCACTTTTGCATTCTGCCAAAACTCCTTTCAAACCCATGCATTCTGTTCTATCACTGTTAGTCATAACAGTACATTCCTATCAGTAAGTGTATTTGGAGAAGCACACCTATCTGAAGTAGTTTTTTTGTTGTCTCAGTGAAGTCACCTTTTTTTTCGTGTGGCTTTGTTTTACTGAAAGGGTATAAAATAACAGCTTCATGTGGACCAAATGTGGGAGCAAGGCTATCCTGGCGGCCGATTCCGGTAGGGCCTGCGTGCTCAGGTGGTCTTGCTTCATCACATTTGGTCAGGCTGGTGGCAATATTGCACGAGAGGGAACCACATGAGAACCATAAAAGAAATGAAAGGAATTTGCTGGAACTTGGGAAAATCCTCACTAGGCATGCAGATTACCTTAGATCAGTTGTGTTTCGAGCTCAGGAAAGGTGCCAGTGTTGAGATGCAAGTGCCGTGTCCCTTGAATAACTGCTGCATTATTCTTTCACTTTATTTATTTCGCTAGTGCATGACAACCATGACTACAATAAAGAGCTGACTACTTAATGGTAAGAAGTGTACGACCTGTGCATTGATAGATAAAATATGAACAATCTAAACTGTTCACAGGCTTTCGAATTTTATTGTTTTCCTGCACATTGAGGGGGAAATAGCCTTTGCAGTTGAGGAACATTTTGGCATCTTCACCGCAGGGGCTTTTAATGAGCACATGTGCTCAGTTGATGCCTCTCGTAACGCCATGGAAACCAGCCCCTTAAGGGGTGGTGCCACCAAGTTTGTGACAGGCGTGTTCTTTGCTGTAAGCGTTTCCTTCAGCTCCAGGAAGCATGATACACGCACCAATGTTCATGTATTTTTGCTAAATAATTTAATATTGGTCTACTTATCTGGACCATTTTCGGTTTCGCAGTGCCGAATTGGGCAGTGATGTCAATGTGTAGGTGGCTTGGTCACGTAAGCGCACAAGGCTGTGACGCACATCGTGTTGAGCTTCGTCTGCTCTCATGCACATGTGCCACACTGAGCGCCAGCAAAACAAACACGCTGACAGTCGCCATGGTCAGCTGCAGTAGCGTTGAGGCGGTGGCAAGGCAAAAGGTAGCAGGAAGGAAATAAAGCATTTATCTTTACAATGTGTGTAAAGATCGTGGACAAGGAAGCTGCCCGACGCTCAATGCGCCGTCCTTTTATAGGCGCCGAGACGTTGAAGGAGGAGGGGGTAGCCCCACTGTTCGACGCGCTCAGGGTCTCTGAACAAAGCGTCGAGTGTCTTTTCGAAAACACTCACAGTCCTTGATGGACGCACACAGTGTCTCTGAAAGAGACGCCAGCACACTCGTAACAGCAAGCGTGTGAATTCTCTTCTTGTTCACAAAATGCGTTTTAGAGATGGCGAAGGTCACTCGCATCACTACAAATCTGGTGTGACATCACGACAAATCTCCTATTCTGGAACCTCAGTGTTGCTGCGCAAGCGATTTGCATAGATCGCGAGAGTGAGCATTCAGCTACACTTTTAGAAGTGAATTAACCTTTTGTTGGACACAACGAGGGAACAAAAGTTATCATGTTTAAAACATTTTTAGTGAGCTATTTATCACTTCTTGATCCCAAGAAAACAAATCTGAAAGTCGAGAAGTGTTTTATTGCAAAGAAAAAAGTGGGAACTATATGTCCCACTGTCCACTTAGGTCACTTCGATAAAGTGGGACTCATATGTCCCGCTGTCCACTTGAGGCAGTTCACACTTTCTTGTGAAATGGTGCGAAGCAAGTTGCACACAGCGGAACATTGCACACTTTGCACATATACCTCGTGCGGACTTCTCTTTTGCTGGTTGAGCACCAGCGGCACCGCCGTCGCGTGCCTGTGAAGCTTGGGTGGTGAGTGTTTCCGGAGAACCGACTCTCATCCGGAACACCAGTCATCGCGCGACCGTTGCTCTTGCCTCGCTTATTCTTGAAGGCAGTGATGGTCCTCCGAGGCTTGTGGAAGCTCCTTTGTGCGATGAGTTGTCTGCCAAGCTTGAGGCGGAAGTGAAGGTATCCAACATTCTCGATGGAGTTGGCTTGTATAAATGCGTTGACAATCGCCGCATCAAGAATGAAGTAGAAAATTCTACTCCACCATCGCTTAGACCGCCGGTCTGCAGGGTAGGCATTCCTCTTTTGATCGAACTTGTCGACGCCACCCATCCATGCATTATAATCTTTGACCACCTGAGGGCACTCCACTGATATTTTTTTGCCATTCGGCAGCGTCCTTTGAACATCGACGCGACATTCTGGTTCGTGGTAATTGGACATCAGGTGGACATTCTTTGTGTCCCTCCACTGGTAGGCAATGACGTCCCGCTTTCTTCGCCACAAGTATGAACCCCTGTCCATCTTGTTGTCAGTTTTCACCTCAGGCGGAAGGTCTTTCTTGTTTGTACCGAAAGTTCCGCAGGCAAAAATGCCTATGTCCCGCAATTCTTGCAAAAGTTTTGTTGATGAAAAAAAATTATCGAAAAACAACTGAGAACCAGTGGGCACGACACCATCTGCTAGTGAGAGAACAATATGCTCACCTAATGTGCGGTCAAGTGGTTTTTGAGCGTTTTTCCCCTTGTAGAGTTGAAACTGGAGCAGGTAGCCCGTTTCGGAGTCTGCGAGGGACCATACCTTGTAGCCCCTCTTTATCTTGGGCTTCATAGGCATGTATTGCTTCAAGCTTGAGCGTCCTTTGAACAAAATCATGCTTTCATCAACTGCAACATGTGTCGATGGGTTGTACTCCGTCTGAAACTTTTTGTTCATCATGTTGATCAAAGGACGCACTTTATATGCGCGATCAAAATCTTTGTCACCATAGCCTGGCATTTTGTCGTTGTCGTTCAGATGAAGACAATTGCATATCATCTGAAACCGCTTGTATGTCATCACTTTGGCAATTTCATTCACGTAGAAAAAGCTATCGGAAGACCAGTACATTTGAAGTTGATGCATGCGGTTGATGCTCATAAGGATCAGCATCCCAATGTAAGCTTCAAGCTCATCGCGTGTCAGCGGCACCCATCCCTTTCGCTGTGTCTGTTCAGCATAGAGATTTGTCTGTTCTAGAATATGGTCCAACACCTCATTATCGAAATACAAGGAGAACGCGTCAAGGGCAGTGATTGTCGGACTGAGTCTTTGGGAGATCGTGAAGCTGTGATTCGTAGGCGTAGGCATACAAACAGTCGACGTATCCCACTGAGGTCCTTCTGAATCATTTTCAGTGTCGGCTTTCGAAACAGCACTTTTCCTTTTTTTCTTTCTTTTGCCTGCATATGGTGGACGCCGTCTTTTCTTCAGCATGCTCGACGAAGCGGGGGGAGCGTTTTCAACATCACTCTCGTTCTCGCTGGACTCATCGGGTGGTAGATCCCAAACTTCATCTTCACTGCTTTCGAACTCTTCATCATCACTGTTGTTAGAGTTCTCTGGCAAGCTCCAGAATAATTCAAGTGCTTCTTCAGCAGTGAGACGTTTCTTGTTATCTTAATAAAAAAAGAAAAGAAGCAATCTGTATGGACCGAGCTGCCCCCACGCTATTGCTGCGCAACGCTAAGCCTAACGTGGAACAGGTGATTCCCACTACTATTCGTAAAACAGGTTCCGTTTATCTATGCACTGCTAAACATCACAAAATATACCTGCTAGTTGTTTGTAAGTGGTTACTGAAGTGCAAGAAAGACAAGATTTACTCACCAGACATTTTTTTCTTGCTTGAAAGAACCTCACAAAAACACCGAAAAACTGCAACGCGCAAGTGAAAAAACAAAAACTGCTTCTTGCCTTGTTGCGTGCTTCCACCTAGTGGAAACGCCACGAAACTGCATACAGAATGTTCTAGCATACTCAATAGATGGCGCTAGTGGCTTGTATGTGATTGCATGAGCTCTTTCAAAGAGCTAGGGCGCCGAGAGCGTGGAATAATAAGTGGGACGTATATGTCCCGCTGTCCAACAAAGGGTTAAAATATATTGCACGCGTTTGTTGTGTCCGACTATTCGTGTGGAGAGTCCTTGCATACAGAGGAAACCCACAACAGGCTTGGGATAGCTTTGAAATTTGGTATCACCACCCCTTTAATATCAGTCTGGCATAACTTTAATTCCACCAGCTGCAAGAAGCGTACCAGCAATGAGCACAGGTGCTTTTCGATGACCCTTGTTATTTTGCCGACTTCTCAGCACACTGTCGACTGTGGACAAGATTCTCTGAAATGTGCCAGCGCCGTAAAGTTGGAGCGCGAACAGCTGCTGCAGCATAGGGGGCAGAGGCTGACCTTGGTGTCCCTGCATTTTTGGAGCGGCAACATGGACAGAAGCTATTTCAGCAACGGGCGTGTGTGATGTAGAGCTAACTGTACATGTCGAGCCTGCGAATTAGCTGACGATGACCTGTGTTCCATCGAGGTGGTGTGTCATGATTTGGCCACATAAGGAAAATACGTGGCTGAGTGGTTGTTATGTAGAGCTAACTGTACATGTGGAGCCTGCGAATTAGCTGACGATGGCCTGTGTTCCATCGAGGTGGTGTGTCATGATTTGGCCACATAAGGAGAATACGTGGCTGAGTGCTTGGTGGCTGCAGGAATGTGCTCAAGCAGCGGCAGACGCAAACAGCAAGCCGAAGTGATGGATGTCGGCAATCTAGGTTTCAGCCAGAGAACAGTGCAGTCCATGATGCTGCCACCCAACCTGCGGCGCCTTTGCCAGCTAGAGTAGTTCATCTTAGCACGAGTAAAGCTTTAACTATTCTACTTTTGCATGTAATGAACACCTTTCAAGATGTGCTACTGTGGTTACAAACCATGCTGCTATACTATTACCTTTGAACTATTCTAAACTATCGGAACATTGGCTCTAATGAATTGTTATAGGCTTTTAAGCAAGTGCCAATACCAAGTCCGTGAATTGGCACCGATAGCTGCAAAATTGTGTGACACTTATTAATTGGAGCAATGACTGTGGAGTGTGGTGAACTTGCTCACAAACCCAACCTTTATACAGCAAGTGTATAATTTTAGTTGAGCTGCTCCCAGCAGAAAAATATGGTGGAGTTCAGCAACACATTAATTACCCAGCAGATTTCATTTGGCCGTAGGCTGACTACACCACTTCACAATGTAATTTCCTACACATGTTGTGATCATGGACTTTATTTTCCTACTTGTTGCAGTGTTGACTGCAATCCCTGCTGCTCCACAAATCTTTCAGTGTTTCAACTGGTCTAGCAGGTATGACAGTTAGGTCGCCATGTATACAGTAGAATGGCCAAGAAAATATCTAAGCAAGAACAGATGGATACAAGGCAAAGCATCACAAATCAAGAATCCTGCATCTGCTAAGACAAAATCACTTTTTTTTAAAACTTGAGGTCAACAAATTAATTTCTCTCTATGGCCTCTCTATCTGAGACTAAACCTTCTCAGAGCTCCAACACACACAAAAAAAGCTCACTATGCTGTTTGGTGAAATACAAAGGCCTTTAACCTTCTCAGTCCCAGGGTACCCTATGGGGTTCTTTGTTTTAAAGGCTACAGAGCATCACATTTTGGTATCCGCACGTCCAGATTGGTCTAGGCACAATAAGGATGAGTTGCTTTCACAAAGCCCTGAGAAATGGCACTGTGTGTGGTCATATTTGCAAAAGGAGCGAAAAAAAAAAATGACTGAGTACTGCACGAGTGCTCGGATGCGTACAGTACAAGTGCTCGGCTTCATTCTTGTGATAAGTGAAAGCTATGTAGTTGTTATAGCGTAAACGACGCCTATAGTTTATTCTTTTAATGGTTGATTCCCTGTAGATCATATTGAAAGTCAATTCGATCTAATATTCTTGTTGCACTCAATCTTAGAGACTTCACAAAATAAGAATTTTTGCAAAAGGGTACTATCACATTTTGAGAAAACTTAAATTTGGTTGATGCATAATTTTTCTGAGCCGGAGTCAAATAATAGTTTTTAAAAGCTTTTTTCGTTGCTATATTATTGGGACTGAAGAGTTTAAAGGTATTTCAAGACTTTTAAATATTAGAAGCTCGCATGGACAGGAGAACACCATGCATGCTATCTCTGCTGCGTCCAAAATAACCTTTATTGTTGAATACGGGCTAAATTTTGCAGGCCTTGTTGTGTCTATTACAAACCTTGATGCCCAGAACGTTATTTGCGGAGCGGTATGTATATAAAATTAATCCATGACACACATGCTAGACACTGTCGACAGAGCGATCTGAAATTCGTGGGCCAGGTCCTGTTCAAACAAGCCTCGATTAAGCCTCACAATTACAAGGAACAGGTCGTTCTCTGCCGTAAGCTTCCGCCGTTGCCCTTGACGATTTGAGGAATGCTTGCATCGAAGCAAGTAAATTTCATCTATTCTTTCTGGGATCCAAGTGCTCAAAATATTTGTACCTTGGCATTTAGGCGTAAGTATGCATAACCTTGTATGAGTGTTTGGAAGGCTGTATGCGAAAAGGCCTGTTTTCTTTCTCTTCACTCAAGACATGCCTTGAGGCATGTATTTCCTTTATTTTTGTGAAAAGTGGCATCTCTTTCCTATCTGGAGCAGGTGCTCCTAGAAGACTTCAATTAGTCAGTCAGACTCACATTGTTTTAACAGAGAACTTCACATTTCTATTTCGATCGGTGTATTTCATTGCCCTGTGTGGCAACAGCATCTCTAAGACGTTGCACCACAATGGCAGGCTTGTCAAAATATAGTAGTGTGCCCTTGCCAGCAAGAGATAAACACCGGTCTGGGCTTAGCCTGTTTTTCTCGTTCTGGCAGGCTAGGAAGTTGGACACTGTTTTTGCTGGGTGTGACATACACAACCGGTTTGGCGTGTCTTGGTCGTACCCAGGCGGGTGTGTTTTCCCATGGCTAGTGTATTCCGATGTGGTCCTAGCCGTAATTTCGCATGGTTTACCGTTCTTGCTTGAAGTGGTGTACATTTTGTGTTGCAGAATGAAATTAGTGCGCTACAGTAGTTCTTCACAAGCTCCGCATTCACAGGCTTGTGAATTATTATTCGTGTGATTCTTGGGACGATGCGAGAATCATTCGTCCGACTCGATGACGGCCCTCTTTCATCCTCTGGCATGAGGCAAGTCATCCCTACTCGTTTCTTGGCGACCTCTTAGTCTGTGTAGTCACTTTTAGTTTTGAGATGCGCTCTGGCAGACCGGGAAAAAGGCGAGCTAATGCCCCTGGTGCTAGTGCCCATTTTCTACGAGGTAGAAGTACTTCGTTTCCGTTTATAACGTGCCTATAATGTTTGACAATATCGTCAACCTCAACATGTTGCTCACAGACCGTGGACTTGTGAGTGAGCTTCCTTTTCTTGCGGCGCAGTTTTTGTTCCCACTTTTCAAACTCATCAGGATCCCGAGGTGGTTCAAGGAAATGGTGATCGGTGTCATTTTTGTAGCCACTTTTGCAGCCTGGCACAAAACAAGAAGGCACTTGTCACATGCTATAACTCTTTCGTAAGAGAAAATAGTTCACCCAATAGTGGCGCGAAGAAGCGAGTGCCAAAAATAAGCTGTCGTGTCTGAGGGGCGACATGCGTGTCGCGACACTTGACGTGCGGCACGGCATGTAAAGCTAAACGAAACAGCAGCGCCATTAGTACACACGTCAGCGGCTTGTGGTGGTGTGCACGCGGAGCTGCAAACCTGATTTGGTTCTAGTAACGTTGGTTTTCAGGGCGTGACCCTGTAGACCTTGTCTGCTGGTGGGGAAAGCAACAGGTCTCAAATTTCTATAGT